CGCGCGCTAGGGTCCTAGCAATCCTCCCTTTGATGATGATAGGATTTGTAGATCCAATGTCTGGGGTGGGGGTGGAGTCCACAAAACCTGTATCTGTTGAGTTCGTTAAGGGCATCCTTTCCCCCTAGCAATCTTACAAAAAATTTACTTATGAAATAGTAACTCCCGATTATCTTTTCCTGATGACCTCTATTTATTTTCTGTCTATGAATTTGCTTATTGTGTGTACCTCGTAAGTGGAATTACATATTCCTGTTTTGTTTGGCTTATTTCATTTAGCATGTTTCAGAATTTAATTCCTTTCTATACCCTATATCCAACAAGGGGCTGATATTCAAGATCTACAAAGAACCCATGCAACTCAACAAAAAGAAAACAACCCAATCAAAAAGTCAGCATAAAAGCCAAACAGATACTTTCCCAAAGAAGACATACAGAGGTCCAGGAAGCACATGAAAAAAATGCTCATCATTTATCCTCACAAAAATGCAAATCAGAACAACCATGAGATACCACCTCACACCTGTGAGTATGGCACATATCAAAAAGACCAGAAATGACAAGTGCTAGTGAGCAGAGAGAGGAAAAAAATAACCCTCTGAACACTGATGGTGATAATATAGACTGATCCAGCCCCCATAAAAACAGTATGAAAATTTCTCAAAATCTTAAAAACGGATCTGCTGTATGAACTAGATATCTACCTGAAGAGTGCAGAGTGATATGTGCAGCCCTTTGTTTAATCGCAGCACTGTTTACAATAGCCAAGCTATGGAAATATACTATGTGCTCAAATACAGATGAGTGGATCAGGAAGGTGTGATATATATATACATCTTGGAATACTATTAGGCCACCATAAACTTACCTTGTCATTTGCCTAATATGGATAGAACCAGAGGAGATTATGCTAAACCAAATAAATCTGGAGGTGAAAGACACATACCACTTAATATAGAGAAACCAAGCAAAGGATCAGGTAAAGCCAGACTAACAACAAATGCTAGAAATCTGACTGTAGAAGGCTGTCAGATGGAAAGGGATACAGGGAGGTAGCTCAGTGGAATATTGCGGGTGGACCATGGCTTCTTTGGGGTGTGTGATGTGGTAACAACACCTGAAGTGGGGGGCAGATGCTATATCGAAAACACAACCCTGTAAACTATTGTTACCTAAAAAAAAAAATCCTTTCTAAAACTATGTATATTGTATCCCATTGTATGTATATGCCACATTTTGTTGTCCACTCATCTGTAAACGGACTTTTGGATTATTTACACCTTTTGCACTATTGTGAATAATGCTGCTTTGCACCTGGGATATTTGGGTATCTGCTTGGGTCCCTGCTTTCAGCTCTTCAGTTATCGTGTGATCCAGCAATTCTAATTTTTTGAGGAATCCCCAAACTTTATATAACAACTGCACCATTTTACATTTCTGTCAGCAATGAATAAGGTTCCACTTTTCTCCATGTCCTTGATAATGCTCGTTTTCTGTTTTTGATAATAGCCATTGAAGTGTGTGAGGTGGCATTTCATTATAGTTTTGTTTTGCATTTCCCTGATTGTAGTGATGTTTCATGTGTTTATTAGACATTTCTTTATCTTTCAGGGAAAAGTTTAAGTCCTTTCTACATTTTTAATTGGGTTGCTTGGTTTTTTTGGTTATTGAGTTGTAGGATTTCTTTGTGCATTCTGGATATGAGTCCCTTATCAAATTTTCTCTCTTGTCAATTGTCTTTTCATACTTAGTGTCCTTTTTTTTTTTTTTTTTTAAGACTTACTCATGCATTCATACAGAACTGGGGTACAGGACAGAGGGGCAGGGGCTGTGAGAGGGTTCACCAGAGACAGAGTGGGGAGCAGAGTAGGCAGATTGACAAAGGAACTGCTGAGGGGAGCAGTGGGCAAGAGAGGGAAGATCTGCTGCGCCATGTGGATCACCTCCAGGCCTGGGAATCGAATTCACACTGAGATGGCTGCCACTAGCCTGCAGTGCTACTTTCTAACCTGCTGTGCCACCAGGGAGGGCCCTCTTAGCATCCTTTAATGCAGATAGTTCTAACTTTGATGTGGCTCTATGCTTTCCTTTGTTGCCTGGGCATAATTAGTTTCTGATTTTAATTTGCAAATAAAATTGTTTATCAGTATTGGTACTGTATTTCCTAACATAGAAGATACAGTAGAATAAACTGGTGAATGTAGAACTAGGTCTTCCTTAGCTTCTTTCGAATTCAGTTTCTTTATTTAGGTGAATGGTATTACCACCTAAGTGCTATAAAGTCCTCTTACAAGATAGAAATATCATTGTTATTTTCCTTAAATCTGTGGTAAAAGTACATTTTGTCAAATAGCAGTTATTCATCTTTCAAATTTTGTAAGATGTAATAGTATTAAGTTTGCTTTCTGTAATGAAAAAATTGGCTAGTCACATTGTTCATGCATAATTAGACATAGCAAATATTTATAATGAAGATTGGTTGACAAATAGTGAACTTTTTGCATTTTTAAAGGCTGTTTTAATGGAGTTAATTTTTGTTCTTTCCTCGAGGCCTATATGAACCCAATTGCAATGGCCAGATCAAGGGGTCCAATCCAGTCTTCAGGGCCAACAATCCAAGATTATCTGAATCGACCAAGACCTACCTGGTATTTTAAAATAATTTATCAATTTATAAAGTTTTTCACAAACTTTTTAACGGTTATTTTCACAACTTTTATTGATCACTATGTGGTTGCCATATATGTAATTCTTAAAGTAATATTAGACATATACTTTTATTTGAATATGTGAAATAGATGCATGTGTTTGTAAAACATTTTTGAGCCTATCACCCAGTATAGCCAGGGCACCAGTAGCACTTTCATAGCAATATTTTTCTAATCCTTAAAAGTTAACCTTAACTAGCTGTGTTATAAACAATTTAAATTGATAAGTTTGAATAATCTCACCCTTCTTGAGGGATAACTAGTTGGTTGGAGGATAGTATTATTTCTTATTTCTAGTTTTATCTGGATAACATTAGGCTTTGCATAGAATGAGATTGATAGCTGAGTAGATTTTCCCACTGTAAAATTTTTGTTTTAGATCGTTTTTGGAGTTGCTCAATTTGAGTGGGTCTGATCTTTTGTAAATAAAAGCATCATAGCACAGACCTTATGTATTTTTAGACTGCCTTCCTCATTATTAAATACCATACTCCTATGGTAACATATGAGCTTCAGAATAATTAGTTTCAGTATCCTCCTTAAGAAACCCTGAAAGCTGGGCAACTGTGATTCATGTTCATATAAAACAGGGAATCCTTTCTTTGAGTTAAATAGGAAGTAAGCCATGTCCTCATCTTAAAGTGTTCATGGATGATGTTGCAGAATATATACCAGAAAATAAATTATCACAAAACAAAGTATCTTCTTCTTTTAAATTGAAGGAAAGGAATAAACTTAAAATGAGAAGTGCTCAAAATGAGTAAATTTACATGTGTACCAAAGGTTCCCAAGACATTTCTGAGACTGATAACTCAATAGGACTCACAGGTGGTTGTAGTTGTGGTTAAATTTTGTTACAGTGAAAGGATACCTCCCACAGTTGACAAAGGAGAAAGGTACATGGGGTAAACACTAAGAAAAACCACCCACAGGCTTCCAAGGCTTCTTGTCCATGAATATACCCAGGACACAACTTGATTCCCTTAGCTCCTTATTGTGATTAACTCACAAGACATAATACATTCCAGTTGGAAGAGTTCATTAGAGACTTAGTACCTAGGGATTTTGTTGTGGATTGGTCAGCCTCTACCCATCAGGTGTCAAAATTCTAAACTTCCAGGAAGAGAAGCTGTTATGCATAAACTGTAGAGGTTGTACAAGTACTAGGCACAGTGTGCCCATATTTCAGGGAATAATGGTAAGGGCCCTCTTGGAGAAGGTCCCAGACACCAGCCACGACTAACCCTGTAAACATGCCTTTCCTAAAATAAACAGGTGTGCTCTTGTAACTCTTGTGTGTAACATTTGAGGTACATAATAAAATAAAGTGGATTACAGTTTTTACTAAAATATAGTAACTTAGTCAAATAGACCTTAGCTCACCCTTAAACTGAAACTACAAACTTTGCAACATTAGTCAGATTTCTTACTGTGTCCAGACTTTATTTATAGTGATAAAAAAGAAATCTCAGCCAACTTTGAAAGAAATTGATGTTTTTTGAGGACCTGGCTTTGTCATGTGTCATTTCTCTTGAAGTTGCATTTTTTAAGGACCCATAGACTTTGAATGTGGAATTACAATACTACCTTTTTCTATAGAGTAGATATGAAGATAAAAGAAAAAGTAAGTAAAATGTTGTAAAGTGCTCAATTGCTTAGTGTGTTGACTCTTTATTTGTAAGAGAAAATCTTTAATGTTATCGGATTATGGGAAGGCTTTATTATGGGAATTGATTATAACAGTGTTCACAAAAATATTTGAAATGTATCAATATTGGAATGGGGACATTTATTAGAATTTTAAGAAAAAATTGTGACATCCTTCTAAGCATCCAACTGCAATTTGAATTGCTTGAAAACTTATACATTTTATTTTTAAGGGAAGAGGTGAAAGAACAACTAGAAAAGAAAAAGAAAGGATCCAAAGCATTGGCTGAATTTGAAGAAAAAATGAATGAGGTTTGTACAGAGTACTTTTATTTAAAAAATAGATTTTTTTTTCTTATAATGAGAAAATGAAATCATTTTTAAATAAACTAAGAGTTTGGGGGTATAGAATTCTATGTAAATGTATGATGTAGGGGATATTAAATCATCTTTTAGAATTTAAAACTTATATTAAATGTCAGGTATTTCCCTTCTCTCCCCTGATAACCTCCTCTGGGATATTTGTGGTGATATTTGCTGTTTTGATTACAGATGTGTATGTAGTATTTCAGCTGTAGTTTTAGAACAAGTCCATCTTCACTGTCTGAAAAGAGAATATGATAATCTTTGTAAAATGAAAAAAGTGCTCAAGCTCAGTAATAAAACCTATTGCTCTCACTGTATAGTAAAGAACTCCCACCCCTAAATATCCTCTTTGACAGGTGCTAGTAGAGGCTCCTTTGGAGATAGGTTAAAAAAAATTGGCATAGGTCCACCCTGGTGACATGAGAGGTTAAAGTGCAGGACTAGGAAGTGATCCACAGCCACTGCAGCATGAGTTTGAGTCCTGGCCAGGAAGTTGACCCACATGGTGCAGCAGACCTCTCCTGTCTCATCCACTGCTCCCCTCAGTAGATCTGCCTATTCTTCTCCCCTCTCTGTCTTTGGTGAATCCTCACACCCCTGTACCACAGTTCTTATATGCATGCATAAATCAATCTTAAAAAAGATTTCTGGCACCTGAAGTATCTTTTGACTGTAATTGGAGAGTGAATAGGTAGGAGGTAAAAGAGGATGTGGAGAAGTAGTGGCTCTCCTTTTATGAGGTATACAGAAGAAGGTAGCCTCCTCTAATGTTTATGATTTTTGCAGAATTGGAAGAAAGAACTAGAAAAACACAGAGAGAAATTATTAAGTGGAAATGAGAGCTCATCCAAAAAACGACAGGTAATACAACTTTTAGTTTAGTGCTATTCTTAATTTCCTAGGTTTTTATAATAATGCTGTGTAGTGTTAATAGATACATAAAATTGAAAACTCATCAAGTTATTTAGATTTTTACTTTCATTTGTTTGCTTTTAGAGAAAGAAAAGAGAAAAGAAGAAATCTGGTAGGGTGAGCAAAAGTTTTCCATTTTTCTACATGTTACAATTAGGAGAGTGTAAGAATAAAAAATCATTTTCTACAGAAATGTAAGATTAGTTTACATAACCTCTGTGCTGACTCTAGGTGAGTCAGGGTCTCACCCATGACTGTAGTCCATGGGTAATTTTGGGGGGCAGGGAATGCTTTATTAGTGGTAAATTAGAAAGGTAACAACATGTTAACAACCTAGTATCTCCACTAATAGTTATTAAAGAGGGAATGCTGGCTACTCTGTTGTTACTCTGTTGAGCCTTTTTTGGGGGGGTTGGGAGTAAAGGGATGGCACATTTGACATTTTAATGTATTAGTTTTATAAATATGGCATTTGTTTCTTAGGTGCTAGATTGGTTTCTTTAAATAGTTAAGAGACTTATTTAGTAAAAGAAAAAAATTCCTGCATCTCACAAGCTTTAATTTTTTTGTGCTTGGTCAAGTATTCATCTTCTTCATCAAGCTCTGATTCTTCCAGCAGTTCTTCAGATTCTGAAGATGAGGTAAGGTTTGCCTGTAAGGATTTAAGAAGTAATGAAGCCCATTGTGGAACATATTAGCAGTGTTTACTTTAGGTTTTGTTAATTATATATAACAGAGAGCACATATATGAATAAATAACAAGCCATTTAAATATCGGTATATATTTTAGATAAATCTAAATTTATCTTGTCATTTAAAGCTATCAGTATAAAAAATGAATTTGAAAAATCTAAAATACTATCTAACTACTTACTAGGGTTACATGTAACTCAAATCACTTTTTTTTTTACATCAGGAAGTAATGTAAGTCACATAAGTAAAACATTACAAGCTGATTTTTCTTTATATTTTGTTCATTAATGAAGGTTTGGTATTAGTGAAATGCAAGTTATATTTGTTAAAGCAGAAAGCAAATGTTTCTAAAATTGTTTTATGTAGGATAAGAAACAAGGAAAAAGAAAAAAGAAAAAGAAGAACCGTTCACATAAATCTTCTGAAAGCTCCATGTCAGAAACTGAATCAGACAGTAAGGTAAAATTAGCAAATTAACATTTGGATAGTGAAGAAATTTAATTAGGTTTTTCTTTTTTGCCTATATTAATTAAATCATTCACGATTTAGAAATAGGGTTCTTTTTTTGTATTTTGATGTCCTTTGCTACTTAATATATGTAGTGCTTTATATATGATATTTATTTTCAAAATATTTTCACATCTATGTCTCCTTATCTCAACATTTCCTTTATAATTAAACAACTTTATAATTAAAGCATGGCAGACTTTCACACTTTTAATAAAGACATACTTTAGCAGGAAATTTTTTGCTTAAATTCATATAGCTAGTATTAGAACTGGAAGTTGAACCTGTGGCTTTTTTTTTTTTACTGTACCATAAACTTAATATTTTCTCTACTATATTGAATTTTTTAACATAATTGGCTCTCAAACATTAGTTAGTGGTCATAGGAAATACTTAGAGTTGCAATAAAAATGTAGCTTCCTGGACCCCATTTGTAGAGTCTGATTTAATAAGGCTAGTTAGGATCAGAACTCTACATTTGTAACAGATATCCTCTGTGATTCTGATACAGGAGTGTCCATGAACCACAATTTGATAGGCACTGTCCTAGGCTCCCAGGAGAACAAAGCAACTGTCTGATTTTATGGCAGATATTTACTTCCTGGTGAGAGCTTCTGACAGAATGCCTGGCATTGGAAAGTACTCGGTCAGTGTTTTTCTCTTTGTCTTTTAAAGCAGAAGAGCCAGTCTGTTCATATTAATAGCAGACATTTATTGAATGCCTGTATGTTAGGCATTTTTCTAAAAGCACTTGACATGGTAACTGGATCATCTAAACAACACTGAAATAATTATCCTGCTTTACTGGTATGAAGGTTCAAGGAGATTATTAGCTAGAACGAAGGTATTCAACAGAAATTCTTGCCTCATCTCTATAGCAAAAGTGGAAGAATCAGACTGGTAGATATTTTAGTGCAGCCTGTGATCTCTTCCTCAGGCACAAATAGATAATGGCATAGGTCCTTTTTTTTTTTTTTTCCAATTGAATAGATGTGACATAAAAATTTTTGTATATTTAAGGTGTGTAACATGTTACTTTACTGTTTATGTGTTATGATTGTGATATTTATCATATTATGTATTAGGCAATGTCTGTCAGTTTACAACAGATTTATTGTACAGCGGATAAATGAAAAGACTTCATTTCTTTATCAGCACATTTATACATACTTCTACATTTTAAGAATAAAATTTTAGTGTTGAAATAAACTTTTAGAGAGCAAATCACCTTTTTGGTATTTTTATCCTTATAGTGTTAAAATTTTTATATTTAAAGTTGAAATATAGTATTTTAATTGAAATTGAAAGAAGTACTTTTGTTGTTTAGGATAGTTTAAAAAGGAAAAAGAAGTCAAAGGATGCAATTGAGAAAGAAAAGGTAATTATGACTTTATATTGCCTTAAGATAATCTGTCATAATACTTCATTTATTTCAAAGAATTAAGTTTTTTTTTTTTTTGCTTTTATGGTATTTCATGTAGATTTTAGCAAATCTATTACAGGATTCCTTTATAAAAGTAAATGCTCAAAAGAATATCCCTGCAGAGTTTGAATTTCTATAATGTATTATCTCAGATTGAAAACACAAAATAGAAGCTGTTAAGCATTTACTTTGTTTCAAGTCATTTTAAAGAGGGCTCTTTTAATTAAGGCAGATGGACTGTGTTTCAAATTGAGTAGACCTTGGGTAAATTTGAAAAATCTTTTTATTATATGGATGTTTTATTTCAGTTTATGATAACCATAGTTAATGCTCAGTTTAGCCCCATCTAGATTTCTATTTACACTGAAAAAGCCTTTTCTAATTATTAAAAATAAAGAAAAGCCTAAAGTACACAATTACTAATGAAGGAAAACTATAGGCAGTTCTATTTTCTCAGGTTCTTTAATAGCATTTTAAAAAATTGAGATATAATGAACATAATATGCTGTTAATCATCTTAAAAATTACAATTATTTAGGGTATGTACAATATTGTATAAGGAGATCCTCTCTAGTTTCAATACTGTTTCATCACCGCATTGAAAACTGGTTCATCACCCCATAAAAAACAATCAGTATCCATTAAGTAATCAATTTCCATTTTCCCTCGCTTCCAGTCTCCCATTTCCTGATAACCTCTTGTGCCTGTGGATTTGCTTACTCTGAATACATATAAAAACAATCATACAATATGTCACCTTTCGTGTCTAGCTTCTTTCAGTTAGTGTAATATGTCCTGAGGTTTGTTCAAGTCACAGCATGAACAATGCTTTGTTTTTATGGATGAATAATATTACATTGCATGTATATACCAGTGTGTTAATCCATTCATCCATTGATGGTCATTTGAGTTGTATCTCCCTTTTTTGGCTAATACAAATAATGACGCTTGTATAGGTTTCTGTGTGTACATATTTTCATGTCTCAGATTTATAGCTTGTGGTGGTTTTATATCAATTTCAAAATAAAAATGCATTAAGACACTAAGAAACCGAAAAGTGTTAATTCCAAAAATTCAATATAAGAAATTTATTAATGTGCTTTGCCCATATTAACTGGGACCCTTAGGATAATTTTAATAGTTAGCAAAGGGGGTTGATGTAATTCAGCATTAATTCCTGATTTTTAGTGCCATTATAGAATAAGTGATTACTTTCATGTTTTACAATGAATGCTTGTGAAACTAAAAACTGGTAATGTATAAACATGAAATAGTAAAAGAACTGCATTGTGATTTTAAAGAATTTCAAAATATTGCATACAGAGTAAATTCAAGCATATGTAATACAAAATAATACAATAAACACACCTGTATATTACCAGTTACTAGAATTACCAAATGTATTATATTTGTCATTCTTGCTTCATATCTTATTTAAAACAAACAAGAAACTGGATACACTTTCCTTAGAGGCAGCTGTTTATGAAATTCGTATACATCCTTCCATCCACATGTATACTCTTACACATAAACATACATTTATAAATAACATAATGTATTCTATATATACTCTCCAAGTTTGTTTCTTTTGCTTTTAGAAATCCATTTTATTAATTTGCCACAATTTATTTCTCCATTCTCCTATTTGTGGACATCTAGCTTGTTTTCATTTTTCAGTAATGCAAACAAAACTGCAGTAACTATTTCTTACTTGGTTTTTTCTTTTTTTCTACAACTTACTGATAAATTTCTAAGGTATAATACCTAGACTTTAATTTCTAGGTTTTAGGATTTCATACATTTAGCTTGTCTACATTTTGCTCACCAAAGTGCTTGATTGATTTGCATTCATGCTAGTAGTGTATGACAGTACCCTTGTATGTACTTGTCAACACTGAGACTTCCTTTTGCCAATTTAATGTTTAGATAGTTGAGCCTCTTCATCTGCTTTTTAGCCATTCAGATTTCATTTTCTGTGAATTGCCTGTTCATATTATTTGCCAATTTTTCTGTTTTTGATCTTGTTGATTCATAAAAGTTATATATTTTGGATACAACTCTTCATGGACATGACTAACATCTTTTGGTCTATGGCATCTCTTAATCTTACTTAGGGTATCTGTTATAGTCACATAAAAGTTGTCATTTTAAGTATATATTGCCAATTTTTGACCCAATTAAAAATTATTAAAGTTCATGCAGTATCCAATTTAGAAAAATAGAATGGAAGAAAATATATCCCATTTATAATCATAACAAGGAATGTAGAGGAACATCTTTAAAAAGAGCACTGGACTTCCTTAAAAATGATACAGATCAGTTCAGATACAGAAGATTTAATAAATGTTTCTGGCTTGTCCTGCTATATGTTAAGAGATTTCTTTTTTGAGTGTTCTGCTTAGAATAATTTGGTATGATAACATCAATAGAAAAAAAAATCAATGAAAAGTTCAAGTAACATGTTGTAAATACTTGTAAGATCTAGTATGTGATAAAGGTGGGTTTGGGAGAACAAAATATCTAGCCACTTGGAAAATATAAAACTATGCCCTAAGGCTAAGTCCAGATAGTAACTAAGCTGCAAATATATGAAAATTCAACTAGAGAAAGACAAGGGTGAATATAATATTGGAGCTGGAAAGGCCTATGCCTTAACACTCAGAAATTTTTGACCACAGAATTGTGAGTGACAAAAAAAAAAACCATGTGAATAATGTTTTAATACAATGAATAGACTAAAAAAAGCTAGCAATACAGAAGACAAAAACTTAGTAATTTCCAATAATTAAGGAAAAGAATACCTCACATATACAGAAAAATTGGTAAAATGTATGTTTGGGCAATTATAAAAGAAAATATGAACTGTATTTTGATAATCTGAGTTGGTATAATGGAAAAAGAGCCTGATAAAGAGGCTTCTGGTAGAGTGTGGTTCATAAATGAGTGAAATAAAGTTTATTTTCTTGGGGGTGGTGGGAGAGTGAGAAAATCACTTGGGTGAAGGCTTTGGCCTTTGATTTAGTCATTATTAATTAGATAAGGATTCTGCACTTACATATCCTTCACTCTATTTCAACTTTGTTTTTAATAGCAAAGAACCCATATGCCTGCCCTCCAGAAGGAGATGGGTTAAGTAAATTGTGGCATATACTTTCAATGAATGTCAAAGGCGACCATAAATGACGATGTAGTTGGCATGGAAAGATACTATTGGGTGAGAAGAGCGGGTTCCAAACAGCAAGTATTTATGTGAAATTGTAAATATACACATAGAGAGATGTTTCCAGGATTTTAACAATGTTTAATCCCTTATGGTGGGATTTGGGTGAATTTTCTTACAATAAACATTTATCATATTTACCACAGAAATTGAAGCTATATGTAGAAATAAAATTTAATCACCTATAACACATACATCATCTCTGCTGGTTATTTTTGGCATTTTTTTTTATAGTTTCAAAATTTGTCTAAGATTAGGTGGTGAGCACTTTTTTTTCATTATGTGACTTTATTATTTTGTTGCGAACTACTTCAGACATACAGGAAAAAAAGATGAAAAATAATAAAATGACAACTTTGATAAGTCCTAATACTTTGCCATACTTGCTTCAGAATGTTTTTGAATTTTTTCTAAAAACACATAATTTCTTAAGTATTCTTTCAGTCTCCCTTCTTTCCTACTTGAACATTTTCCTCTTAAAAATACTTACAAATGAAAACATTTTAAATAATATAATACTTCTAATGCACTAAAGGAACTACTATATAGAGATCCTTTTAGAGCATCACAAATAAACTACCCATTGATTTTCTTTTTTGCAGCATTAGGCCTATCTGAGCCAACCCTTTGTAGAAAGAATACAAGAGACCCAGATCTTGTATCATCTATTGATTTCTTTTGATTCCTTAAAAGGAGGCTCCTAGGATCTAAACAAATATGCAGTTGCTTTTCACATTATTTGATAAAAACATTACATACTGGTATTAAAGGCTAAATACTGGTAAATGCCAGTAATTTTAGACATTTCTAAAATGAAAATGGGTAATTAAAAAAACTTTTAAATAGAATTTAGAAACATAAAATTTGTGTGCATAGTATTATATCTTTTGAGTCAATATATGTGTATTCCCCTCCTCACAGGATGTTAGAGGACTCAGCAAAAAAAGAAAGCTGTATCCTGAAGATAAACCTTTATCATCTGAGTCCTTGTCAGAATCAGATTATATTGAGGAGGTGAGTATTATATTAAAAGATTTCTATACTTCAAAATGTTGAATTACTTGATTTATCCATTTTTCTCATATGTACCATAAAAATGGGAGTTGTTCCATTTCACAAGTTTCACATTTTTCCAGAACATTAATCATGTTTCCACATATTCTGTCTAATTTGAGATACCAGTCTTCAACTATTTTTTATTATACTACCATTTTGACTATATCGATGTATGATGAAACCTAGCACTCCCTTGGGGTTTTTCTGAAGTTACTGTTCAAGGAGTAAGAAGGCAATAAAAAAAAATGGTAGCATGATCTCAGTTTTCCCACCTGGAAAGTGAGAGAAGAGTACTTGTGGTATGTATAGTTCTTTTCAGCTTAAATACTGCTATATTAGATTTTTTACACTGGTGGAATTAGAGTCTGTTCTTAATTTTAAGTCTTTAAATTTTCTTTTACGGTATTTCTCTCTGAAATGTCCTCATTTGTAAAATTAGATCTCTTTCCTCTTTGTAGCAATATTTTGTGATGTTTGCATAAATAGTTTAGCTAACATATCGTATGTATACATAGCTGTTTCCTAATACCAATACCCTCAAAGGAAATACAAGAAAGTTTATGAAATTGTTTCAGTACGTAGATATTTGAGTGTTATTGATACCAGAAGACAGGTATCTTGAGACAAAACAAAATTCAGGTGGTGGCAAATGAATTACTACATATGCCTTTTAAAAGGTTTATAGTAATGGGCCCTGCCTGCTGGCATAATGGGTTAAAGCCCAGCACCATGAAGCTCCCCCAGCCACTTTAGCACTAATTCCATCCCCTGCCAGGGGGACGCACCCACATGGTGCAGCAGACTTTTCCTGTCTCACCCACTGCTCCCTTCAACAGTGTACTTCATCAGTCCACCTGTTCTGCTCCCCACTCTATTTCTGGTGAATCCTCTCGTCACTCCTGTGCCTCTGGCCTGTACCCCATTTCTGTATGCATAAATAAATAAATCCTTAAAAAAAAAAAAAGAATATATTTTTTAAAAGGTATATAGTAACATGGTCATCAGTATTTTCCAAAATGGTGGACAGTTCTCACTAAAGCTTTTAAACAAACATCTTCCTTTTGTATGGTATCAGTACTGCTGAGACATTCATTATATCTTAAATCCGATACAGAATAATTTGTTTTCATATTGTATTGAATTTGGGCTTTATATTTATAAATGGTTTCATTACACAAACTTCTGTTCAAAACTTATCAGAGCTGTTGTAGATACCACATAAGAACCTCCCAGCTTGTTCTGGCTGCATATGAATGCAGAAAAGCTACCACTCCAGTGACTGTTGATGACAAGAATAATCAAAACAGCATAATTTCTTAAGCACTCTCTGGAGTATTTGTCTTAATATACAATGCTACATTTAGAGTTAAATAGATACTAACTTTGACAACTCAATTTATTCTAATTACATTGTTGAATTTTAATAAGTTGGCTTTTACTGAATACATTGTATGTGTAGCTACCATTTATTCAGTAGAGTAAGAGTGACACTACTTTATTCCACGCACTTCCCACTGATGATAGATTTTGTCTTCAACTTGTAGACAATGAAGTTGAGGGTAACATATAGCAGAGGTAATATTCAGAATTTTATCTTTCATACTTCAGGGCTCATGTTTTTTCTCCACTGTACTTCACTACTTTTTTTAGGAGCTAAAAGGGAATATAATGGAAGTCCTCTAGAAATGTAAAATCTTAATTTTCTTTCCTTGGACTGATTTTCATTGAATCATCTTTTGTGATATGGTATAATAAGACACTTAAAATTTTGTAGCAGTATTTTGTATTGATTGTCAATACTATGGAATGAAAAAAATTACTTGAGTGCAAATTACAGTTTGTCTTCTTCCTCTCCTCCTCCCCCAATTTAAACATTTTAGGTACGAGCAAAAAAGAAGAAAAACAGTGAAGAACGAGAAAAAACAATAGCAAGTATCACTTTTTGTTTTTACATGGCAACAGTTTAGCTGCTTTAACATAAAATTAGTCATGGTAAGCATGATTGTATATACTGGGGAAAATTTATTAGGAAAGTTGTGATGGACAGCAGCATCACTTCATAGGTAAGAAAAAGTTAAGTTCACTCAGGGAAAAGTCAGAATGTACTAATAGCAAACATTGGGTTTCCATTTCAGTATTTTGTAATTAGAAGTCACACTTTTGTTTGACTTTTCTTTTAAGCTATAATATTACACATGAGATTAAAATTATAATAATTCCCTCCATCTCTGCCTATGTTAATTCCACATCAACTGATCCAGGTAATAACAGAAAATATTTCTAAGCACAATCTTCAGTGATTAATACGCAGGGCTGTGGCAACATATGTGATTCACAAATATGGATAATTCTTGCAATATTTTCTGCTCTGCTATTTTGTAAACTGAAAAATACAAAAGAAGAAAGAAGGAAAAGACTAGTGAAAATAATGATGATAGTCAAATTAGAAATAGGTCAAGATAGAGAAAGTGGTAACAGTTTATTAAAGAGTAATGTGGACCATATTAACAAAGTAATAGAGGAGTTCAATATAAGTGTGGGCATTTTCTTGTTTTTCTTTGAAGATTTACTTATGCATTTAAGAGCTGGTATACAGTCTAGATGTTTGAGGGGGAAGGGTGAGAGGACTCACCAGAGACAGAGTGGGGAACAGGATATGACTGATTGAAATACACTGCTGAGGGGAGCAGAATGCAAGACAGACAGGAGAGGTCTGCTGTCCATATGGGTCAGCTCCCTGGCCAGGGATCAAACTCATGTACAGTGGCTGCAGATAGCTTCATAGTGCTGAGATTTAAACCCTTGCACTACCAGGGAGGGCCTTCTTTTTTTCTTTTTTAAAGATTTATTTTATTTATTTGTGCATACAAGAACTGGGGTGTAGGCCACAGGTTCAGGGAATGAGAGGATTCACCAGACACAGAGTGGGGAACAGAACGGGGAGATTGAAATACACTGTTGAAATACACTGCTTGTAACAAGTTAATTGCAGCATTATTTATAATAACCATGAATTGGTAATGATTTATGTGCCCATTGCCTAATAACTTGATGAATATGTGATATATATCCACAATGGAATTCAGATATTAGAGAAGGATGAAATCTTGACCTTTGTAACAACATATATTTATGCTTCATGAAGTGAATCAGACAGAAAGATAATCACTGTAGGATTTTGTGATATATAGAAAAAACAAACAGATGAACTAATAAATGAAACAAAAATAAACTTGTAGGCTATAAAACCAGTAACTGTTATCAGAAGGGTGTGGAAGAATCCAGACAAAGAGAAAAATGATACTGTAAGAATAGAATTGGACTTTTAGCGGTGAACTAAATGTAGTATAACCACATGTTGATTTTTGGAAGATGCACAGATACTTGTATTATTATTAAATTACTTAAATAAGAATGAATAAAACCATAGGTCACAGCTATTTTAAACAGAAAAGAGGTACTTGGGAAGGAGCCAAGATGACAAAGTGTAGTATACCATAGGGAACCAACTTTTGGACTGGAGCAGAAAAGCCCCCTGGTAATTGAGTATTTAGCACATATTTCTATGATGTCTTCTGGAGTAGGGAATTTTTTTCTTTTATCAGACTGCTTTCCCTCTTCTTGCAATGTGGATATCTCTTCCCTCCACTTTACCTTCATGATTTGGAATGGAAAAGGCTACTTCCTTTTTCCACCTCTTTGAGATGCAATACTATGAACTACCTAGGATGTGATGTTGTCATTCTGCCAACTTCTTCAGAATAAAGGAATCAACCTACATGCCTCATTTGTTTAATGGGAGAGAAATTATTTTGCAAATTGCACACTGATAGTAAATTTAAAATAGGTACTTAGATGTTGGTATTTGTGAATTCTTTGCCACTTGTCCCAAAGAAGAAGACTAAGTATTAAGTATGGACATCAGAAGTTTTTTTGTAAACTGTCTTTGGGCCTCCCTTGTTGGCTCAAGGGGTTAAATCTCAGTACTAAGTAGCTATTGGCAGCCACTGCCACACATATTTAATCCTCACCAAGGAGCTAACCCACAGGTACCCACAGACCTCTCCTATCTCAGTGTATTTCAGTCACTTTGCCTGTTTTGCCCTTACTCTTGTCTCTGGTGAATCTTCTTAACCCCACCCCACATCTACACCCCAATTCTTATATGTATAAATAAATAAAATAAATCCTTTAAAAAAATACTTTTCTACTTTCTGCCACAAGCATCATAAGCATATTTCAGAGATTATTTATGCATAAAAGAACTTGGGTATAGGCCAGAGGTGTGATGGGGAGGTGGGGGTGAGAGGATTCCCCAGAGATAGAATGGGGAGCAGAACAGGTAGATCTGTTGAAATCCATTGTTAAGGGGAGTGGTGGGCAAGGCCAGTGAGGTCTGCAGTGCCATGTGGGTCAGCTTCCTGGTTAGGTATTGAATATAGGCCAAAGGGTGATAGCTTGATAGTTTTGAAGACTTAACCCCTATGCTCCAGGGAGAACCTTGATAAGTACATTTAAGAACACAAAAATAAGTTCCACATATGTATTATAATTTAAAATGAAAAAGGTACATAAAAACAATGTAAATCCTGTTTCACCTGTGAGGGCCCTGAGTTTCAGGGCCCTCCCTAGTGATGCAAGGGATTAAGGCACAGCACTATGAAGCAGTCTACAGCCATTGCAGCAAGTTGGATTCCCTGCCTAACCCAAATGGCACAGCAGACCTTTCTTATCTTGCCCTCTGTTCCCCTCAACAGTGCATTTTAGTCAGTCTGCCTGTTCTGCTCCCTACTGTGCCTTTGCTGAATCCTCTTTTACCACCACCACCCCACTTCTGGCCTGTACCCCATTTCTTATAGATATAAATAAGTAAATTAAAAAAAAAAAACTTATGTTTCAGTAAGTCTGCAGTAAAACCTTTACTGTGATGAAACATATAGGTGATAATATGAAATTAATTTCATATATGAATAAACCATCATAGTTGCCACATAGATGCACATTTTCACATGTGTAAATCCACATTTTCAGGTGAAAAAAAAGTCTTTTTCCTGGAGAAGGAAACTATTGTTGACTTATTTGGAATTTTTTAATGGTTTTCATTCTTTTAAAGAAGGGTTGCAGTGTGTAGATGCTAGCTTTAGGGATGCTAGCAACCTTAGTGAAAGGTTGGGTAGAAAAGATAATTTTGAGTCTAGTGGTGGAACACATTCACCTCCCTAGGATGAGAGGCTACTATTTTGCACTTCATTTCTTTTTGTGAAGTCTAATACAGCACTTTAGAGTTGGTTTTCCATACTGGTTAGGCAGACAGGCATAAAAGGACATACGTGATTTTTCTGTTAAAGATGTGATGGCTCCTGCAGTATGATTTATCTTCAACTTAGGACATAGGGGAAGAGAATGAGAAAAGTTTAACTGTAATACCTTTTCCTAACAAACAACAGCACAAATTCCTACTGTAGCTCTCTCATCTTTTATGACATTGTATATTCCATAGCTCTTATTTTTTCATAAAAGCTTAAGTAACTTTTCCCATTGATTAGAGATGGGTCCTTGGGTGTTTGATTTATTGGTAAATAGGTAAAATGATAGACTGAAAGCTACTCTGGTCGTTTTCCATTTGGAACTGAACTTTTTAGTCAGAGAACAGGCCTCAAAAGTATTCCCAAAATTATGGTTGGCTTGGCGTCAATTTAGAAGAAAGAAAAAAACCTCAAACAAGAAAAAATAGTTTCTTTAAGAAATATATATCTCCCTTTTTTTCCCCCTTAAGGCTTATATTATAATGAACAGACTAATACAGAGTGGTCCTTGCTTTCAGGTCAATAAAATTGTCAAGTCTTTACATAGGAAGGATAAAACTTTTATTTATGAGTCTTTGTGAGCAGGTAGGAATTTGAGACTTATATGAAATTTAAAAGATCAACTCCTGATTTAAGGAATGTTTGTCCAGGACCATGTGTACTTTAATATTAAGAATTTAGGTCAGATTTACCAAAACTGGAGAGTAAAGGACATGACCAATGATGTGAAATCTTGAGTGTTCTTAATGACTGTCAGATTTTCCAGTCAATTTAAAGTGGCAGAAATTTTTTTAGTAAAATATTTACAGAATATAGAGAAAATGTAATTTCTTTTGAGGTCAGTTACTGAGTGCTAAAACTTAAAAGTAACTTTCATTAAAGGTAACTTAATGTTTCTTTTCCCAGCCACTTTCTGACATTCTTAGTATTTTGCAATATTGAAAGAAAGAATGGAGTCCCACTGGTGTATTGAGATGATCATATCATGGAGAATTTGTGTCCCCCAAGTATCTATTTCCATTTTCCCCACGTCCTTTTGGCATCTTTTGGGGTATTATCATTTGGCAGAGGTTGGGATACCTGTGCTATCAGCACTGTTAAAACCAGCTCCAGCCTTCTTGTTTGAATATTTATCAGACTCCACTTTTCTGTAAAATTCCCTTTGTATTTAGGCTTGTCATGAGAATAATGAAAATTACCTTAGAGCCACAAAAAAATAGGTCGAAGCTGGGAAAGGAAAAGGATTGTAGAATGTTCTGATAGTTAAGGAAACAAATAGGAACTTTGCTTTTGCTACATTATATGTGTCTCTTCTTGCTTTTTTGTTTTTTTCTTAATATTAAGTCTGTTGTTTGATACCACCTTTCCAAGTACCATTTGGCAGGGGTTGGGTTATCTGTACTATTCTTAAAAGTTTCTCAAAAATAGTCAATAGCTTTAGTTACATCAAAGTCAGCTCCCTTTTATCCAGCCACAATTTTACTCCTTTTAATCATCAATTTTCTTCTTAAAAGCCAAGCAATCTTGCTTTACTAAGCTAAATACACTTTTAAACTATATACAGGTATTTTTCATTAACTAGTTCATTTTATAAATAAAGCTACTAGCTACATAGTACCCAATACCTGTGTTCATATTTACTTTAAAATAGCAGATTTAATCTTCTGCTTTCTGAAAACTGTCATTTTACAAAAACAATTCATTTGCTCTGATGTGAGGAATTCTTACAAAATTGTTATCCAGGGCACTCCCTGCTGGTGCAATGGGTTAGAGCAAAACACTGTAGAGATCTCCGCAGCCACCACAGTGTGAGTTCCATCCTGGACCAGGGAGCTGGCCCACATGACCTCTCCAGACCCGTCTCTGCTGCCCTCATAATGGAATTCAGTAGAGCTGCCTATTCTGTTCCCCACTGTCTCTGGTGAATCTTCTCACCCTCCCACACCTCTGGCCTGTACCCCAGTTCATGTGTACATTAAGTAAATCTTAAAAGAAAAATTGCTATTCACCATTCAAATTTTATAACAACAATACAGCATTTGAGAATATGACTTGTTGAATGTATTTCCCGGAGAAAAGTTTGTTAGATGCTACATTACTATACTATTGACAGTTTTTTCCTTGACTTTTTGGAAATCAGCAAGTACTCTTAATCCACATAGGATATTAATTTTTGAGACTGAGATGTTTTGTGGTGTGTGGATTATTTAAAATAACTACGTAGTAGCTTAGAAGTACCAGTGTGAAGTTATTTTAATTTGTATGGTTACATATCTAATGTGAAACTGTCTTTACAGGAAAAAACAAAAAAGAAAAAGAAGCATAAGAAACACAGTAAGAAGAAGAAAAAGAAGGCTGCTAGTTCAAGTCCTGACTCACCGTAACACTAAAATCAGGATTCTCTTATAATGAAAGTGCAATGTCTAAAGAAATTTTAACTGTGAAAATTATGACATATTTACTAAAATGCATGAATTTTGTTTTTAGAATTATTTCTGGACTGTTCAGTAGCCACTCGGATGCCGCTGTGTGAAAAGGCCATAAATGTTGCCTGCTGCTTAAACATCTATTTTTTTCCCTCTTCCAGTGAGATAACTCTGGGAGATAATACGCTGCAGTTTACCTGGTGGTTGAGATACTTGGGGATAAAGTTAATATTTTTGACTAGAAGTACCTAATGATAAAAAAACAGAAATCGAGTCTGGATACATCGTTAAGATGTAATAGGAAATGACAAGAAGACTCTAGTTGACAGTTTCAAAGTAGGGATTACATTGATGTTCAAAATCCTTACTCTGTAGATAAATGTATTTTTTTTCCTTATATGCTTTTATTTACCTGGGGAAAGGAATTGTAGGGTGGGTTGGGGACGTTTGCTATCTCTTTAGCTAGCAGAATAGTGTGCCTTTTACCCTCACACATCTTATTTTTGTGGACACAGTAGCCATGCTTCATGGGGAGGTCAGAGCCGGTATGACATTCTTGCTTTTGCCAAGTTTACTGATATCCTTGGACTCTGTTGTATGCTGCTTTGAGTGAACCAGAGAAACAGTCCTTTATTGGCAGCATGAGAAAGCCCCAAAAGCTCTGGGATTTCTCTCTCCACTTCAATAATACTGAATGTTTTTTAGCTTTAGAATGTGTTATATCATTTGAATTAATTTTGACTACACTTTGGCTTTAGAGAGGAATCATTTCAAATATAAACACTGGTACTTTTTTTGAACTTGATAGCTAAAGATTCTGAAATGCATGTTTTATACTGTTAAGTTTTAACAAGTCAGGAAAATCTTATGTAACCAGTGATAGTTGTTTTTTATTTCCTTTTTTGTATGAATTTTGTTTAGGCTGTAATGTTTAGCTTTTGTTAACTCCTTGTTCTTGCTATTTTAATTCCTTCCTGTGTTTTATGGCATACTTGCCAAGTCTTAGCATGTGAAAAGCAGGTTTTTGACTTTTTTCTTTAAAAGGCTTCATATTGAAGCTGGAACTTAACCATAAACAAATTGAGTGGCAGGCCTGGTATGCTGTTTTGTTACATAAAAGCTCTTGCCAGAATCTTAGTAAATATAACGTTTTAAAAGTTTGTTGTCTTTGTATATTCATAACAAATTATGACAAGTTAAATTTAAGTGATAAATATGTTACTGCTTTTCCTGTGTCATATTTTACTAAGATTTTGTGCCTCATATCTCCTTCTGAATTGTTTATTAGTGATGTTAAAAGGAATTGATAAATCATTTTCACTTTACATTTTTATATAATCAGGTAATATGAAATATAATATGATCTACAATTTTGCCTGTTATAGACGGTGTACTAATTATAGTGATATATGCACAAAATGTTTTTGGCATGACACAAAGCTGAATAAATAGCTATTTTGCTTAAAAATAGCTGTGTTCTTATCAGCTCCCTTTGAGTCACAAGTAAATTTTAAAAGATTAAGAAACACTGCTAGGTCTTATGTAATAGGAAGACAAGATATGTTTCCATGCTTTCAGCTGTAAAAACATTTCTTGGTAAATTTCCTTAAATTTTATGTGTAAAGCTTCATACTACTTTCTAATTAAAGCTATCTATCTACGCTTTGGTACGTAGCAGGTTTGCAGGAATTTTGTATCCGAAAGGAAATTTGCCAGAATTGTTCATAAAAATTGAAAGGTAAATTTTATCAGGTTATTTGTTGATCAGTTTTGCTATGAACATACAACTGTGTCCTTTGGCAGACTGATCCAGTATATGATAGTAATGTCCCACTAGAAACACTGTTCATTTTATTACAGAGAGGATAAGGTCATTTGGCAAAAAAAAAATCTTTCCAGATTGTTTTAACTAGGAAATTCCTTTTTTCATAGTTCCTACTGTGGTAACCTTAACAATCTTCTAATAAGCTATAGGGAAAAAAATTTGGGTAATGGTATCAAATATGTCCATTCCAAAAACTACTACATGGTGAAAGGTACTTCCTCTTCTAACTTTTATTATTAAATATGTTTAAATAATTTTTTAAACATGAAACATATAATTTAATTTGGATAATTACAACAAAATTGGTGAGTCTCTGGGTTGAAGAATCAGTTCAAACCAATGTTACCTTTTCCTTGCTTCAGGTTACTGCCTTTTGTATATCTTTACGTTTTCTACATGATATAGGATGTTCTGAATTTATTTTATCCAGTGTATAGTTTCATAATCCTTAAGTCAAAGTGTGCTAAACATTTATTGTTTTCTTTCATTTCATGGAGAACACTAGAATAACTGCAGAGAAACTAAAAACCAGATATTCTTTAGACAAGTTATAGGCTTAATACTTTTAAAATTTTCCAGTTTACATTCAAAATTTAAACTTTTATGTGGCATTTCTTTTAAAAATCTATGAATAACTTTTTTCCTCAATTGCATTTGTCTTATATTAAATTTCATTTTTATGTTTTATTCAGAATATTAAGAATATAGTATCTTTGATATTCTAAGCCATTTTATTACATTTTTCCTAGAAGCAAACAGAATAGAGGATAATTTATTCTCTACCAGGATTTGACAGTATACTAGCATGAATAGTAGTCGTCCCTTTAACCACCTTTGGCATGATCACACTATGTTTTCCTATCAGTCAGATGACAGTTGGGGAGGTAAAAGTAGGATTTTATATTTCTCCAGAAGCTCCCAAATTGAAACCTCTGTTGGATATCATGAGAATATTTTTGGGGTTTTCAAAAGACATTATAACCTTTGAGGGGGCTATTCAAAGCCTGTGAAATTACTTTATTTCAACTTAAAAAACAAGATCCTCATGATTTTAGATAATGCATTCAAATGAGGCAAGGGTGACATCTTTAACTGTAGAATTTTTGTTTCTGCAAAATGGCAATAATATCAAGTATCACTTTTTATTGATAATACCAAAGAAAAGATAAATGTTGGAATTGCTGTAATACTTCAAATCAGAACAATGTTAACGAATTGCTGCATGTGTATTGAGTAGTAATAACCATTGCACGTTTTTCCAGTTACTTGAGAACTTTCTGTATTTGGTGGTTAGAATGTTGCTGAGGCCACATTCCGTGTTGGGTAGTAATCAACTGTGGAACCAGTGGTTAACCTAGGACACCCAGGCTTGAAGGTAGTCTCTGTCTGAGAAGTCTGCATCGTGTTGAAGCCATACTCAACATGGACCAGAAAGCTCTAAAGAAACTGGTAGAATCCATTAGTAATACTGTTAAGACCTGTAAGAACATCTTTTTTCAATCACATAGAAACACTGGTAGATATAATACTTGGTTGTGAACAAGTGCTTTGTAACCCTAAAATAGAGTTCTATTTTCTAATATATTGGTTATGTTTAAATAGTAGATGAACAGTTAATCTCTGCACTTAAACTGACAATATTTTAATCAAGTGTCCCAAAATTCAATAGATTAAGAATTATATGGTATCTTAAGTGCTAAGGGAATTAGTTATCTTCCAACCAAAAGCTAATGTGAGAGTAAAGTTTAGTAAGATTTGAAATTATGAAGGTTTACTAAGATCAGCTCTGAACTCTTTGGCACAAAACTCAAAAAAAGATTCTTCAAGGGAAGCTACTTTATTTAAATGAGAAATAATATGGTGCTTCATACATAGCAAGTGTTTATTAAAACTTAACATAGTTGATTGAGATTCCTTAAAAACTAATCTTGTGAATTTTTTTTCTCAGACATGACCATAAGCAATCCTGACTAATAATTCTCAGAATCTTTTACATTTTTTATAAAGACTTATTTAGTTATGTACACAAGAATGGGTACAGGCCAAAGGTGTGGGAGGTAAGAGGATTCAGAGAGACAGGGTGGGAAGCAGAACAGGCGGATCTACTGAAATTCACTGCTGAGGAAAGCAGTGGGCAGGAGAGGTCCGCTATGCCATATGGGTCACCTCCCTGGCCAGGTATCAAACTTGTTCCGCAATGGCTGGTAATGGCTTCATAGTGCTGTACTTTAACCCATTGTGCCACCAGGGAGACCCCACCTTTTAGATTTTGAGGTTACTTTATTTCAATCACATCCACTTTGTTGTTATTCTTTGTGTGGCCTTTGCAAGGGCACCATTTTCTCTTAAGAATCATTATAAACTTAGTTCATTTTTCTTGTATTTTGTTGATTTTATGTGATCTAAGTTGCTCAAATACTTTTAGGAGGTATTTTCCAGTCACCAGTAGGTGATATTTTCTGTTTTCAAATGAGGGAACCAAACCTTAGATTAAGCAGTTTGTGTAAAATTATATTTTTAAATTAATCCTATTTATTATTACTAAAGATCCTCATGGTCATTCTGTATGGCTCTGCTCTGTGGTAAATACACAATGAAAGTTATATCTAGCTCAATTTGGGGGTACTTTTAAATGAAAGGGTAGACATAGTTTCTCTCATGACTGGTTTTGGTTTCTTAGTGGGTTAGTGGGGAGGACAACAGTGGATGCTGCCCCAGCCATGTCAAGATGGACTGTTATTTCTCATTGTGTACAAAATTCTAGTTGTTCCATGTGACAGAAAATTGAAGTATGTTTTTTTCTTGGCTTTTACTTTAGAGCTTAGAAGGAAACCTTCGTACTTCACTAGGCCCTTGTGTGCCACATGGCGTCTCTTGTCCAAATCTTTAACCACTGCCAGTGCTGCTCTCACATCCTCAGCAGATTACCTGTAGAGATTTCAAAGCTACAAGCAGCTTTTCCCAGATAGATCAGTTTCATATCTAGAACTGGTATAACTTCTACCTGTTCATCTTCCTACTGTTCTTAGAGCTACACAGTATTGCAGTAGCTGCTAGCCACATGGGATTATTTTATGTAAATTAAAATGAAGTATAATTTAATATTCATTTTTAGTCACACCAGTTTTCTGGATTTAGTAACTGTAGATTGTGACTACCAAATTGAGCAACACAAATGTGAAACATTTTCATCTCAGGAAGTCTATTAGTCTTTCCCAAGAGACACCTTTCCATCTGGTAGCCCTTTTAATCTGGAAGCAAATAAATAATTACTTCAGTCTAGTGCAACCTTTGCATTTTGTAAAGGCTCCACATTTGGTTTAATACTCCTTGACCTTGCAGTCATAGACACTACTTTTGAGAATTCATGAGCTGAGTTTTTTGTTGTGTTTTAACAAATGAAGCTTAAGTTAAAATCCCTGTTAATATATATTGAGTTGGCGATTGACCCAATCTTCTTTTGTCATTTAGCCACTTAATTTTTACACAGGTTAAAATTAAACTTCCTTAAAGCTAAGAACAATTTTAAAACTTCCTAGTAATTTCATGTTTGGTTGAAGTGATTGTTTTGGCATCTAGAGTTTACAGTCAATTCTGGCTCTCATCTGTCATCCTTCAGATCCCAACTTCCTTTTCTAATTTGACAGATAATACAATCTAGAAGTGAGTTGTTACTGAATTAGCAGTTGGAAGCCTAGCCTATTATGTTCGGCAGGACTGGATATTGAATACTAACAAAAGAATGAAAGCTTTTGTGAGGTGCCCTGCTAAGTCCAAGTATTTTGTAAACTACATTTCTCTGATACACTCCTACCAGAGGGAAGAAATAAATTAGATCTAAATCTGATTTGCCTTTGTGAATTCATGAACCTCTCTTCTGAGAGGGCTATGAGTTTTTGATAAAATTGATCATCTTTTCTGGGACTTCATTGAGAACCACCTCGCCCATGATTTGACTAATTTCCTTTGTGAGTTTTAACGGGCCACTTTATGTGCACACTTGAGTTAGCATATGTGCCTATTTCCTAGCTTTATCTGTTGAGAAAGCTTAGCAAAAGCAACACAGACATTTAGTATCTAGACTGGTTTCTCAGTAGCATTCTGCAATTAAAGGACACAGCACTCCTTGAAAAGGTGAACACAAAGGGAAAACCTATGCTACTCTTTCTGGCCACAACCTGTGAAGGTTTTTTCCCACAATAAGCAATTCTCTGTACTTAATTCTGATACTACCTGGTGACAGCATTTGAACTTCGAGATTAAGGGCTCAGTCTTTTTTTAAAGATTTATTTATGCATACAAAAATGAGTACAGGCCAGAAAAGGGGTGGGGGGGATAGGGGAGTGCTGTGTGAGATGATTCACCAGAGACACAATGGAAAGGAGAAAGACGGATTGACTGAAATACACTGCTGTGCGGAGCAGCAGGTGAGACGAGAGATCCTGCTTCACCATATGGGTCCCCTGCCTGCCCAGGGGTGGATCTCTAGCTGCATTGATTGAGGATAACTTAAATAGTGCTGCACTTTATCTCCTTGCACCACCAGAGAGGCCCAAGGGTTCAGTCTTACTGAGTGACTCCCCTACCTACACTTCAGCTGCCAATCACATAGGCAGTTAGCCTGTAATGCTGAAGTACTAGCTACAAATCAGAGGTTCTCATAATCCCCTCCTAAGTTAATTGACTAGAGCAGTTTAGGGAACTCAAAACGTTTTACTTATATTACAGACTTCTAAAAGATATAATCAGTAGCAGCCAGATGGAAGGAATATGGAAGGCACAGAACCCAACATCATTGGGTTGTTCACCAATCCAGGAGCTGCCTGAACTCCCTACTTTGCGGGGTTTTATGGACACTTCATTACATAAGCATGTCTGATAATTTATTTCATGTCCTTGGGAGAATGGAGAGTGGAGCTAAAGGTTTCAAGCGTATAATCCTGGCATGGTCATTCTAGTGACCAGCCCTCATATAGGAATTCACCAAGAGTCATCCATCATTAAAGCAAAAATATTCCTCTCACCCAGGAAATACCGAGGGATTGAGGAGCTGAGTATCAGTAACCAGAGGCAAAGAACAATAACAGAAAGGGAAATGTCACTAATGTGCATACCACTTAGGAAATTACAAGGGTTTTTGGATTTCTGTGCCAAGAACCAGAGGCAGACACTAATTCATAATTTTTTTTTCTAGTCTCACAAAAGATACCTTGGTGAGTAGTGCCAGAAATGAAGTGTTGGTAAAGCAAAAGAAGGGGTGTCTGAAAGATTCAGGAGCCAATTTAAAAATTACCAGAGATCAAAGCTGGAATAATTTAAGCCAAAAAAAAAAATCAGTAATACATTATTGATATGAAATAAATGACTATACTGATACTATTGAATAAGTGAAAGAAATCTTTGCAGAATTCCATCTTTTCCAAAAAGTGTTTAATTAACTATTTTTTACAAGATTTATTTATACAAGAACGGGGTGTAGGCCAGAGGTACAAGGGTGAGAGGATTCAGCAGAGACAGAGTGGGGAGCAGCAGATGTACTGAAGTACACTGCTGAGGTGAACAGCAGGTGAGACAGGAGAGTGTTGGGGACCTGCCCTGATTTCAGAGTTGAGAGGTCTGCTGCAACATGTGGGTCACCTCCAGGGTGGGAGGGAATGGAAAGCAGCTTGTTGAGGTGGGCCATTGCAGTGATAATGCTGAGAGAACCCCTAGGGCATCAGGCAGGCCCTAGCCCTTTTCTTTTAGTGGCTAGTCTAAAGGAAAGATTGTACAAAGGGAAAAACAGTAACAGTGGGAAAACGTGTAGATTACTGTAAACGTCTAGTTTACAGTGATAATGTCAAGAACTCTGTATCCTTGTGGTATTCTCCCCTCCACCCCCAAGCATAATCATAGTTTTGTTTTTTTTTTAAAGATTTATTTGTGCATACAGAATGGGGGTACAGGCCACAGGGGTGGTGAGAGGCTTCACCAGGCAGATCCACGAAGTACACTGCTGAGGGGAGCAAGGGCGGGTCAGGAGAGGTCTGCCGCGCCATGTGGTCACCTCCGGGGCAGGTGGGAATTGAACTCATGTGGGAGTGGCTTTAGATTCTCAGTGCTGTGCTTTAACCCGCTGCACCACCAGGGAGTGCCGCATAATCATAGTTTAATGAGAAAAATATTAGGCAAACCTAAAATGAAGATGGAAAATACCATACAAATTCTAACAAGCTGGAGGAGATAAGACAACAGCGGATTCTGGATTGGATTCTGAAACAGCAAAATAAGTGAAAAAACAGTTGACATCCAGCTAGTCTAGTTAGTAATGTGCTGATGTTGATGGCATTCATGCTGATAAATGTACTATTGCTATTTAAGATGCTAACATTAGGAAGCAATTGAAGAGTAGGTGAAAACTTTGTATTAGCATTGCATCTCAGGTAAATCTAAAATTATTCCTAACTAGAAAGTTTAAAACAATAGCAGGCCTTCTAGCAT